TGTTTTTTATTTTTATGTTGCTGGTACAGTCAGCTTAGCTGGGGAAAAGGAATGAGAACTTCATTGAATTAAATGTGGGCTAGTCAGAGATGTTGCACCTCCCTTACCTAAATATATAGGATCTGGCCTATTTGCATGTCTAAGGGTATTACCATTACGTGGACTGTTTCCTAACTTTACCATTCCCATAAATTTCAAAATATTTCTAAAGCAAAAAGTGTAAGACTAATTTTTAAATTGTGATTAGATCATTTGCTTGAGTAACTTATCAAAAAGTTTGAAGGAGTTTAGAAAGCTGTTGTCTACAATGACAGAATTTCCACATACGGTATTGGCATATGATTTTTTTCTGTCTTCTCTTGAATTCATTCCTTTTTTGCCATATTTAAAAAAAAAAAAAAAAGGTTTTTCTTTTCCTTATAGGGGAGTTGTGTTTGGGCCTTGTTTTGATTTTAATGTGTAATAGCAGCTTTTCCAACAAGTTTACACTTGTACTTGTTGGAAACTGGAAGAGACTTGGGTCACTTAAATACATCTTCTCATCTGATTCAAAACATCAGCAGTTTTTAGGAGGCTGAGAGCACAGGAGGACTTTTTGGGAAAATAGAGCATTTGTTGTAGGATGGATGAGCAGAGAAAACTATTAAATTAGGCTAGGATTTAGAGAATTCGGCTAGGATTTAGAGGATTTGTTTCTTGTCACCCTGGGTCCTGCCCTGGCACAGCTTAGTAGCCAAGAAACAGAAGTGCTGCTCTGATGCTCACTAACTTCAATGTTGCCAGTGTGAACTAACAGTCTTAGATTATCCATCACCAAATGTCTCAATCTAATACCAATTAATGAATTAAATGTCAGAACGTCCACTAACTGGAATGGGCTTTGAGAAAAGTTTTTGCCTTTTCACTGTACACAAAACCCTCCAAAATTCTACCCCCAACTGCTTAGAAGTGGTCTTAAACATTCAATTTAAAAGTATGGAATCTAGCACTGCAGTGCTAGAAAGGCAGTTCAAACTCCCAAAGACCTCAATTATAATAATAATTAATAATTTAACAAAATTTTTATTTAATATTAAAAACAGGTCAAAAGAACAGTTAGTAAGAACCTACTTTGTCTGCTGATATATCATATATGAGATTTCCTTTTTAAAGATCCAAAGAAGCTAGTAAACTAGTTTTCATTCACCTTTGGCAGGGAAACAGACTACTAGAAGCTTAAGTCATTTATGTCCCTGTAAAAATCCAAGCATTCAAAAAAACCTGACAGAACTGAACACATCCATAGGGTAAAGGTTAAAGAAGCTGATAAAAAACTCTTGTCAGAACTTTCCAAAGTAAATGGCCTTGCAGAAGTTGCAGGCAGCTAGGAAGTATATCTGCAACCAAGAAAGCACCTTGAAGGGGATGTGTTAGTGATAGGAGGGGACCTGGGCGTGAAAAAAAAACAGTTTTGTAAATACATCCAAGAGGTAAGAAAAATGATGGAGAGAGATCAGATTTTCTTAATGACTCCCAGTGACCTCCAGGCTTGCAAGTTTAAGTCTAAAAGAGGCTTTCTGATGAAGCACAATCTGGCCGGAAAGCCATCTCTCAAGCTGGACTGCAGAAGTTATTTGAAGATCACTAATATGTGTGGCAATTGAAGTAAATACTTTCTCTAAATGAAAGGACTGCAAGCAAGTGGATCTGCTTTGTAAAACTAACAGAGTTATCTCTCTATGGTGTCATGTTACATGTTATCAGAGAACATCCCATTGCCATACTTGAAGCAAAAACATCCAGATTCCTGAAATAAAGACATACTTATGTAGTCCATTATAAAGAAAAAGAGAACTGCTCAAAGGACTGAGTGACCAGTATTCCAACAATGACAGACCTTAACTGAAGCATGTTTGCCATATACTTTTTTTGCATTAAACCTAGAGTACCAAATTTTCTAACTTCTAGTCATAAAGCTAGTCCTGACCTTGGATATACTCTATGAATATTGTCAAAAGTATTGTTACCATTGTTACCCTGTGTGTCTGGAATAGATCTCGTGTTTAAGACAAGGCAGACACTTCAAAGACTGTAAAGATATTTTCTTTCTCCCTGCAAGTAATTTATCAGCATTCTTCCCAGGAAACTAATAGACTTGAGGGGATTCCAGATGTCTCTGAATGGTCATGCTGCTTTTCCACTGGACTGTTCTGCCTGTGGTTAGGAAACTACTATGACAACCTGTTCTCCAGACATTGACCGTCTGGCATTTTAGGTGGCCCCAAGACTCACACAGTCTCACACATTTCCAAATTGCCTTAACTAACGAAGTAGCATGGGAGGAGGTCTTGGAATGCTTGCTCTAAGACATTCTAATAGAGCATGTAAACATTATCGTTCTTATGCCATCAGTTGTTCTTTCTTTTTACCATGGCATTGGCAAAATTTATTTTGTGGGAACAATTTAACTCGGGGACCAGTCTGCTGAATCTGTCTTGCCTGAATTCCGTCAGCCTGGGGAGCTTTTTCCAGGAGTAGAACCTGTCTCCTTAACAGAGTAAATGAAAAGTAGAATCAAGACTAGATGTTTTAAGGGCATATCAGGTCAAGAAGTGGATTTCCATTTGATTTTACTGAGGTCTTAAGTCTGTAGCTGGAATGGAGTATTTTATTGTTGCCTTTGAAGACTGAAAGATCTTTGAAGGAGACTGTAAATACTTACAAGAAGCTCAGTGCCCTTCAAGAGTAAGGCTGACTTTGTTGTTGCCTACTTTAGATGCCTACTTCTGGCATCAGGACATCTGAAATGAGAGTGTCAGTGCTACCAGGATGAGTCAGAACACTCACCCTTCTTCTGCAGTCAATAGATGAGTATTTGTTTCTTAAGGTGTTGCTTATCGTACTGGGTGGAAGGAGCTAGCCAAAAGAAATACTAATTACGTGAGGGACCCTGAATCACGGTTTGTAAGGAACCCCTGAGTCAGGACTACACTTCAGGCACCTCTGTCCCTTGCTGTCCCTTTAATCCTGCATGATGAGTCCTTGACTAAATGAATTTGCATCTGTATTTTGTCTGCAAAACAGCCTCCTGTTAGATCACTGAGACAAAGAGGCCATGTAAAATGTGCCCTCCACATGAGTGTGCAAGATTCAGGCACACAATTCCCACTTGTCCAGAGAGGTCACACTGCAGGGGTAGATGAAGTTATTGAAAGAAAAAAGTGAATAGAAAAAAGACATCCTAGGTCAATTAAACACACATCTAACTTCCATTGACCACAGTGGTTAGGTATAAAATGACTGTAACGATACCTTATACTCATAAGTGAAAGGTAAAACATATATGTACAGACACACTAAGCTGGGTGTCCATGATCTGGAGCTGAATTCCACTCTTGTGTCTTGACTCAGTTGCCTAAACTGGAGTATCTATGCATATATATAAGGTGTATATATATATATATATATCTAATGTATGACCTTTAGGAGGCTTGAACCAGTCTTTTGGTACCAAAAATTTGTCTAATTGGCTATATGGAAGTATTCTAGTTTTAGGAAAAGCTATTGAAGAGTGTGTGAGTACTGCCTAGAATATTGTTTACTCCTATTCTATTGTTTACTACCAGTGTCTAAAGATAAGAGACTCTCAGTTACTGCAGCTGATGTCCTCTCCCTGAAAATACATAATTTTTTTTTCATTGATAGGTATTTCTCTTGTGCTTAACACCAATTTGCAGATGAGCAGAGCTCTACAGAGAGAGGGGCTGTGAAGGCTTTTATTATACAGCAAGTTTGTGCTCAGATGTGAGTCCATACATTTGGGGCTATTTCAACCCTAAATTATTGAGGCTGATTTTATTGATTTTGTTACCTGTTTCAGATATTATTGATTACTACCTTCACTTGCTGGGTCTTACTGTATTAAATATAGGAAACCTCACAGAAAGAACCTTTTATGAAGAAATCCTCTGTGTCTGCTGTAGGAGTTAGGTTTTCTCTGTCTCTTGCACTGCTACCTCATCTCCTTCTTCCACAGGCATCTGCTTTTGGACTTCTCTCCTGCTAAATCTTCTTTGCACTATGAAGTTACACACATGAGAAGACAGCATAGCATGTTGTTGCAATACTATCTTCTCTGAGAGTGATTGAGATTAGAATTTCAAATTGTACCTAAGAATGAAGAGTTCTTAAGAATTTTAAAACTGAATGTTCCTATTTCCTTGAGCCTTGATGTTTCCCTTTAAAAACTACTTTTCAGCTTCTTTGTGTCCCTGTGCATGGAGATAACAGATTCATAAACTGCAGGAATTGAAACCAGTGCGAATTTCTTGAGTGTGACTAATCATTACCATTTCTTACAAAAAAAATCACTCTCAGCCAAGATTTTATAAATTTTAATATGAAAACATCGACACCTATCGTGTCTCCCTCAAGGTCTTCCTTGGCTGCTGCAGAAATGTAGTCTAACTTCTATTGCTTTGGCTCGAGATGAACGTATGAATTCCTCTGGCTAATTGCTTTTTGGATGACCTACAAAGCACCAGGGGTCAAATTCCTGGCCTAGTAACATTGCTTTTCACTGTTCTGGCATGATGCCACAGCTCCCATCATGGGGAATCCCAAGTAGGAGAGTGAAAAGAGGTCATTCCTTACTTCAGACACCCACATTTCCTCAGCTGCTGCTGTACATGGTGGTAAAAGGGAGCAACATTAAAACAGCTCAGACTTAAATGGAGGGTTGAAATGGCCCCAATGTGATGATTCTGCCCAGCTAAAAATTTACTCTCTGTTGATTGACCTCAAGTATGAAGCATTTGGTGACTTAAGCAAAGATATGTGGTAGACGCATTTTCTAAAACATTAACCAGGCATTTGTTCTCCTGGAAAATAGCTTTCAAGTTCTTGCTGGTTCTGTACAGTCTGACAACACACACTTTAAAGGTGCAGATGAACATTATCAGTGTCAAACAGAGCACAGACATGCACACACACCTGGCATTTGTGTGTGTGCTCCTTTGCACGCAATGAACAATTTAGGCTGCCCTTTCTATCCATAGAACTAGAAGCCCAGCCCTGTAAACTTTGCCTATTAACAAAGCTGAAGTACAACCATATTCCTCAAAAAAACCATGATGACCATAAGGCTGATTTAGTACGATGTCTGTAACATGTGACATCTGAAATTGTTCAGCTGAATTCAGCAAATAGAGGAAAAGGAAGAGAAGATTTATCCAAGTCATGCTGACCTTCCTCTCATCCCACTTGTGTGATGCTGTCATACAAGCTTTATAAAGTAACATGATATTTGCTTGAAGGTACATGCCAATATCTCTGAAAAGTATATCCTGCCCACTCAGTGCATCAGGCTAATCCTGAAACTAGTTGTTTTGACAATTATAACCTGATGATACTACATGGAGAACCATCCCCCATCATATTAGGGACACCTTGACAAAGAAGGGGAGCATGTGTGGAGTTCTCCACCCATGTAACCAGAAGGTATCTTTTTCCGCAATAGAGCCCCAGTCCCTGTGCACATGGAGTTTGGTGGAGATGGGGATGCTGTAATACCACCTCTCATCTGATTATGTGATTGTTTCTTTTCACTAGTGCCATGGAAAATACTAGGTTTGTGGCAAGGGGTAGAGGCAACATGTTAATGCACATCTAAGGTGCACTATTTCCCAGAGCAGGTCTGTGCATCCCCCATGGGCTTTATTACCACATACTGCGTCCAGGAGGTTTACATCCAGCATAGGCTTCAGGCTGCAGACTGAGGTAGGAATAAACTTTGCCTTCAAAATCAAAGATACTTTGTTAACCAGACTATTTCTAAACCAAGAACACTCACTCCCAACCAAGACAAAAATAAAAAAAAAATGACAGTTTTTAGTCAACAGCTAAAAAAAAAAAGCCCCAAACCTGAAGCTTTCTTCACTCTTAGAGGGGAAACATCATGTTCCAGGTCTGGGATTTGTGGGGAAAAGAGACATCTGGTATTACGCCAGTGTACCCTGCCTTTTCCATCAGCCAGGCTGGTGGTCCCATTGTGCGGGAGGAATACAACTTCTCTGGTTAGCCAAGGCTCAGGCTGACTTGCTCCAGGGGGAGCCGCATCTGTCCTTGCTCTCTGGAATGGAGGTCATCTGCTTTCCAGGAAAGAGGGAGTGGCTGGAGAGCCTTGAGATACTGAGCGTGGACCACCTGGAAAACTGTACAGCCAGCACTTTTCCTACTTCTAGACACTCCACAGTAAGGAGTAAGGGATGCTGAATTGGCTCTGAACTCCCACCCAAACTTGCTTTGAACAAATGGAAGCGCAGGCAAGTAACATGCATGTTCTGTTAAGAAAATATAGAATCAGCATTTCTGCAACTTAGTCTGTATTAGAGGTTGGGTCAGATTACAATATTTGACTCTAGACTTGAAACACATAGGTGTTTAAGTCTGTTTGGGGATCGGCTGTTTGCAAAGCTCAGACATTTACTCAGATTGTGGTTGAGAGTGCACTGTAACTTTGATGTATTTCTACCTTGTTGGAGAAAAAGGGGGAAAAGATTTGTCTCTGCATCACAGAAAAAGTATGTTAATAACATAGCCACTCTTTCATGATTGGGGAAAAAATCTGAGTATCTTGAAAGACAAAGTTGGAAAATAGCTATCTTTTATTTCAAGAAATCAGAGTCATAAAAATCAGACTATAAAACACACAGCAGCCTGAACCCTCTAGTATTTTATGCCTCCTTTTCTATTTCAGGTCTTCATTTGCCTAATTGCAACTCAGAGGCTGGCAGAGATTTTCCCTGCAGCGCTCATCTCTGCTGACTGCAGAGACCCTACCTGGCGCACTAAGTTAGTGCGTCAGCATTCTAGGTAGAAATGAATGAAAAATCAATCAGGGCAGCTGCAGTGGTAGCATATACAACTGTAACCTACTTTGTTCCTGGTTTCGAACATTTCATTGTATATTTAGGCATCTTTTAAAATGGTAAGTGAATCTGAAATGAAAAAGATCTTTCTGGTCAGTCTAAGAAATTTTTTGTCGTCTTTACTGCTTAGGTCAAGCAAACTTACCACCCTGACAGCTAAGTTAACTTGCCGTCTTGATTGAAATGTCAAAACCTATGAGAAGATTGTTTTAATCTTGAAAATCTATCACCAGCAGATTGCATCATGCAGTGGGTGCAGATATAGTGATAGCTTTGATTTTTTTAACTTTATTTGCAGACCAGATCTAGAGTAAGTCTGGAAAAGCAAAAGTACACTACAACCTTTTTTTTGAAACACAGGTATTGCTCACAAGTGATCTTGCAAGGAGTTTGGTTTGTGGATAATTGTGTGTGTGCTTTTATTTTTTCATGTTGCATTTCTGTGTAGGCAGAGTTAAATATGGGTTGGCAGTTTCATGTAATGAAAGTCTGTGATAAAAACATCCAGTCTTCATATCAAAAAAATTAGTAGCTGCTGTAACTTTTTCAGCTGAATGGGTTAAATATCTTATAAACCCCTTGTAAGACCATTGCTGTAACAAGTCATGCAGTGCAACACTGAAGGTATCAAAAAAATTCACAAGCCTCTTTGTATGTGATGCCCTTACAGTGGAGAAGATTCTTTTAACTATAAAGATGAAGAGTCTACTTTTTCTGGTGCTGATTTCTGTCTGCTGGGCTGAACCTCATTCTGACAACTCAAGTCTGGGTCATGAAAGAAGTGTTCACATTCAAGGTAAGGAAATAGAAGAGAAAATACCAGTATCTACAGATTGCTGAGGAAAAAACATTATTGCTGAGAATAATGTCCTTAATGAGCCTTGGTTTTTTTATACAGTTGTGCTTTTTAAAATATACTCTTATTATTGATGTCCACACCTTTTCTGTTCTGGTTCTGTTGCATTACTATTACTCCTACAGAAAGTAAAAAAATAATGAAAGTTGCACTGTTTAATAGCACTTAGTCACAACCTTGCAAATACTAGTGAGTAAAATACAGCATAATTTAAGAGAAAGGAAAAAAAACATGCATCCTAAAGTAAGAATAAGCAACTGCAATAGTTGTAACATCTTTAGTTTATTGTGGAATATATTTGATTTTAAGAGGACTGTCATACATTGTTCTTCACATTACAGAAATTTATTGCTGATGATTATTTTAAAAGCCTCAGCACATGAGATCATAATTAGGCAATTTAAATTAGGAAAAAAAAAAAAGCTTACCCCATAAGAAAATATGTCTTTCCTCATACCTTTAATTTGCACTAGGTATTATACTGGCCTTCTGCATAATCACATTTGATTCAGGTTTGAATCCTAGAGCTTATAGCTGTAGCAGGATTTGAGTGTGCAGTACAATGCAGCTGTTTTTTCAGTCCCTGCTTTAGTCATTGAGGGACATCCTCTGTAAGAAAAATCAAGGGATTTATGCAATAAGGATAGACAGAACTAACAGGGGTTTTCCTGCTTTCAGTTATAAATTTCTTGAGGCTGACTAAAATCAGTCTTGCAAAATTAAGAAATGCAGCATTATTGTTCTTTCTCTCTCTAAGACTGATTCCTTTCTCTTTGTCAGCTGGCAAACTGTGTTGAGTGTTTGTGTAAATATGAATTACCAAATTAGGGCAGATTACTAAGAAAGCCTTAACATTCAGAAGTTCACAGGAAAGTCACAGAAGTTAAAGATACCCTGCATTTATTAAAACAAGCACTATTAAAACAGATTTTCAAGGTCAAATAAGGGATAACAGCTAGCTTCATGTTAAGGAAACTCACAGGATGAAGGTCAAATGAATGTGTTGTATCAAAATGGAGGTAATCACTGTTGTGAAATGATGAATATTTGTTACCCAGGGTAAATTTCAAACTTGACATCAATGTTTAAGACATATATAGTTTGCCTTTCCTTGTATAATGCAGTTTTTTATCTTTGAACTCGAGTTATCTTTTTGAAAGCTTAAATAAGCGGAAATAATTAAACTCATTCAAAACTTGCTTAGTCAGCAGTTTAGTGTAATTCTAAAGTCATGCATGTGGCTTATCACACTAGTCCTTCAGCTTGTGTACAGTGCAGTCTGCAAGTGCTAAATAGTTCGAAGGTGATAAAAGTTTCAAGATGGACCATTCTCCCTACCTATGAAAACTCATCAGAACCTCAAGTTTATTCCTTCAAGGAAAGCTTAAAATTGAGCTATGCCATGAGCTTAGTTCATCAGCTGCTTCAGGCTCTGAAATACATAGACCACAAATAAAAAAGAATAAAACTACTTGGAACTTACCAGTATTTCAATACTGATTTTTTTTCATTCTTCTCTGTATTGTGGAATCTCAAAAGGTTTGGGAGTCCACTATGCCCAATGCTGCATCAACATATATGCTGGAAATGAGCTGGAACATGTATTACAGCTTCATAAAAAAGATATTCTATATTACATTAAGGAGTGTAGCCTCTCCCTCTGCAGCTGATATCCAAGAGTTCTGTAGCTAACCTCCTTTTGGACTGCGTGTTTTGGAGTGCCTTGGAATAACAAAAGCCAGGGACAGTGTTGTGTAGTCAAGTACTCAGAGCTGAAAGGGATCTCTTGAGGCAATGAACTAAACTGTCCTCTATTCCAGTTTCTTCACATCAGGCAATCTTCTGTAGGTCTAGTTTGATTTTTAAAAAAGAACATTACTATAAGGTAGTTTTGGACACTATCTTTCTGCTACAAAAACCGCTCTCCTAATTTTCTCCCTATTTATTCACAGCCATTGTATGGCCTTATGCTTCTAGTGTTATTCCTTAGCTTCAAATAAAAAATTTTCTTCTTTGACATTCACCTTAAGATGTTAATAAGTTAACACCACATCCTCACAGCTATTATTTGAGCAAACTTTTCCAAATTCTCACTTAAGTGTATAACCCCCAGTTACCTGGTAACGTTAGTTGTTCATTTCTACACTTGTTCTCGTTTGAATGCATACTTCCTGAGTGTGCCCAGCCAGGATTTTATTCCGGATAATAATTTACACTGGCATAACTAATTTTTTTTTTTTTTCAGCTACCAATGCACTGTTTTTCAGACTTTGGATCAAATCTGTACTCTTCCCAGCCATGCTGCAGTGCTGATCAGTCATCTATTGTGATAGATAATATTTAGCAGTCATTCTCCCTCATCACTTACAATTGCCAATTACTGTGTTTATATGAATAATTCTTCATTCTAGATCTTCAAAATCTATGTATTCAACATGAAAGGTTACCATACATTTTTCATCCTTCTTTCTTCAAATGTTCTAAATACTCATTCTCCTCCCTTGAGTGATGCATAATATGCTATGTGAAAATTTTATTAATACAATGGTCACACTTATTTTATAAGGTAAAACTAGTGGAAATTATAAGTCTCAAAAATTATGCTGGAGACAGTTAACTGGTCTTTTTTTTATGCTAATCATTGATGTTTCAGCCCAAGAAATAATCTCTTCTGTATCTAGTTCTTAGACATTTAACAAAGTTTCTACCAAAACATCTATTTTCTCCATCCTAATTCCATATATTTCCAATATCATTGGAAATGAGCTCAAATAATTGATGCATCACATTTTCCTGGCATTATACATTTACTGTTATTATATATTTTATATCAAATTAGCCTGATATCCTTTGGTAGGTATCTACTTTAATTTATCCCTCTTTCTAATGACATATTCCATTTCTGTTCTTCAGCATTTTTTCTTAAAAAAATATTCTAATGCCCTGTTTGCTGTTGAGGTCAGACTAATCAGCCTGTTAATGGTTAAGTTACTCTCCTTACATGTATTTGTTATTTAACTGTTGTCCAGAAATACATGGCACATTCTTAAAGTGGTACATGAGCTATTATGTCTGCCATCAGGTTTGCCATACCAAGTTATCAGTAGTAAAGCCAGTAATTCAGGCTGTGAGGTGTTCTACTCTTTTCTTTGAATATCATATATTTTATGAGTTCAGCTTTTATCTTTATGTTTTCATTTCATACTAATGCATTCATGTACTTTAAGCAACATCATACTTTCAGAGCATCAAATCCAGTGTTATTAGAAAGAGGATTTGTTAATACAGCACTTGCTGTATTGTCTTCCACCTTTATCTGTGTAGTGACTCCATACTGCAAAATGAAACTGTGTCAGTTTAAAAGACTTCTATTTCACTGCTTTGTTAAGAGTTTTTGCAGCCATTCCTGACCTGCTTTTGATCCACACTTTGTTTTGTCCTCACTATCATTTCTTATTTCTTCACAGCCTCCTAAACCACTAATTCACAATGCCACCTCATCGCCTTTATCTTTCATTTGGCCTTCCTAAAAAGCAACCACCTATTAATATTTTATTATGGTCTGACAGCTATTTCAGCATGCTTCTCACTCCCTTAACAACTCTGGAACCAGAAGATCTAGTTAACTCACTTTGTTGCCCCTCCATTAGTATAAGAGCTTCTGCCATCTCTCTCATATTCAGCATTTGCTAACCAGAATGAATATTATTTAATACATTTTATTGTTCTTTTATTGCACTGATAGGTCATTGCTCTTATGAACACAGAGCTTACATCTTCCAAATGTTCACTCTCTTGAAACTGGATTTCTTCAGCTTTACTAAACACTTGCCAACCTCCTTCATACTGCAAAAGGTATAGATGTGTCCTCTCTTAAATCTACCAATTTTTCTTAGAAATGAGTCACTGGCTTCATTCATATGCCTGTTCCTGCAGTCAGTGTCAGCTCTAGTTCCTGCTTCTCCCCTTTTTGGTTAATACAGTAAAACAGGACCTCAGTCAAATTTCTCATCCAATGGATACTTCTACCTTCCCTCTTTTATTAGTACTCCTTTCTGTTTCTTTCTTCTGGCTCACTTCTTTTGTATATATCTTTTATTCTTTTGTTTCCTTCCAATATATATTAACAAAATTCATAACACATCTCAAGCTGCATTTTGTCTTCTGTGACTTTATTTCCTTTCCTGAAGCCTCTGCTAGATTTCATGCTTTTGGTCAGGCTGCTCTGTGTTGACCATACCAACTTCCTCTCTGGCAGCTTCTCTGCATACAAAAGTCATTCCAGTTTAACTTTTGTGGATAAAAGCAAATGGGAGAACTGTATTTAAATAAGATGCATTGTCCGTCTGGCCTCCATCACCCCAGCAAACTGTGTGTGTCTTAAGGGATACCAGTTTTACTCCTCAAAAAAAGTCATACTCCTAAATGAAATCACCTAATGAATATGAAAATGGGACAAAAATATACTCTAGCTACATAAGTGACCACAACAAAAAAATAGTACTACTCTAACCATATAAATGTAATTAAAGGCATAGTTTTCCCAGAACTCATGATCTGTGAAGGACTGTGTCCCATGAGAGAGGAAGACTTTTTTTCCCAGTGTTCAGCTTTGTATATCTGTGTAATCTATTCATAGTGCTAGTTGCTGACCAATTACTCAAAGAGGCAAAGTACTCTTCAGAAACAAGAGTATTCTTCTGTGTGTAGCTGTTCTGTGAAACAAATGAATTTGACTAAACCATTGCAATAATTGCTCAGGAGTGGCAAGAGGCTTTAACAGATGCTTTCAGTTTGTTCAGGGTTTAGAAATATAAGAAAGGCCAGCAAAGAGAATACAAAGCTTGATTTGTGAAGGATCAACCTTTAACTTTTTAGCTTTTCTTTAAATATAAATAAATTTTTATTATGCAGAATATATGGGAATACGGCCATTTGCC